TTTATAATGTTTACATTTATTTTTTTATCACTCATATATATATATATATATATATATATATATATATATATATTAAATCTAACTCAACTTAATTTCATCATGAACTTTTTTAAAAAAATTAAAATATTTTATAGTAGACATAAATTATTTGATATTTTGTTATAAATATAATATTATCTACTTATAAAGTAAATAATGATATAAAATAAATTTGTTGATTTGATATATTAGTATTAGCTCAAATAACTAATTAACATCAATACAAAATAAAATTTAAATTAAATATGTTGTATTGTTATAATGTTATTGACTCAAAAACATAAAATTCATTACTCACCAAGCGTGATAGAGAGTATATATTATCTTTAGCAAATGATCATTTAAATACTAATTTATTTTTTTTATTATATAGGATCACGTCATAGGTTAAAAAATATAAAGCATGTCACTTGATCCGTACAATATCGGGTTGGGTCAAATTTGACCCAAATAATAAAAAAAATTCAATCTGAACTCACTAGGTCAATCCAGGTTCACATGCTACCCACACTTACTTACACCTCTGCCTATGATTTATGTGGTTCATGGTGAACCAACGAAATAAAGTATGATTGTCATGTAGTTCAATTGTTGAAAAGAAAAAAAAATAGTTATATATATATATATGAATAATTAAATTAAACGGTTCAAATTTGTTTGGCTATTATGTTTAGTTTATCATATTTAAGGTAAAATTTATTTTAATTCCACAAATTTAAAACTAATTTTTTAGTTCTTGTAATTTTAAAAAAAATCTCATTTTAATCATTATACTCAAATTTTGTTAGGAAATTTATTGAATATTATAACATAAAATCTACCTATTGGTGTCTCTGTTAATAAAATTATAACATTTTAATTTGATATTGTATAATTTTCTCAATTTATCATTTTCATATATGTTATTAGTGACCTTAGGGACTAAAACACGATTTTTAAAAATTACAAGAATTAAAAACAATGATTTTAAAATTAAGACACTAAAAACAAATTTATTCTAAATTTCAAAAACTAAAAACATATCTAAGACAAATTTTTATTAATATGTTAATTTTATTTACTGATGGTAAATGTTCATTTTGTTCCAAAAAACCAATTCATCATCCCTTCTGGTAGAGGCATAATGGTTGAACTGGTTGAATTGAGAATGGATGGTTTGATGGATTCGAGCCTTTGATTAGATCGAATATGCAACTGACTTGGTGC